TCTACACCATCAACACTGTCAAAACTAGTAAAACTTTCAACACTGTCAACACCATCAACACTGTCAACACCATCAACACTGTCTACACCATCAACACTGTCAAAACTAGTAAAACTTTCAACACTGTCAACACCATCAACACTGTCAACACCATCAACACTGTCTACACCATCAACACTGTCAAAACTAGTAAAACTTTCAACACTGTCAACACCATCAACACTGTCAACACCATCAACACTGTCTACACCATCAACACTGTCAAAACTAGTAAAACTTTCAACACTGTCAACACCATCAACACTGTCAACACCATCAACACTGTCTACACCATCAACACTGTCAAAACTAGTAAAACTTTCAACACTGTCAACACCATCAACACTGTCAACACCATCAACACTGTCAGTACTATAAACACCATCAACACTGCCAACACCTTCAACACTGTCTACACCATCAACACTGTCAAAACTTGTAAAACTTTCAACACTGTCTACACCATCTACACTGTCAAAACTAGTAAAACTTTCAGCACTGTCAACACCATTAACACTGTCTACACCATCAACACTGTCAAAACTTGTAAAACTTTCAACACTGTCAACACCATCAACACTGTCAACACCATCAACACTGTCAGTACTATAAACACCATCAACACTGCCAACACCATCAACACTGTCTACACCATCAACACTGTCAAAACTTGTAAAACTTTCAACACTGTCAACACCATAAACACTGTCAGTACTATAAACACCATCAACACTGCCAACACCATCAAAACTGTCAAAACTAGTAAAACTTTCAACACTGCCAACACCATCAACACTGTCAAAACTAGTAAAACTTTCAACATTGTCAGCACCATTAACACTTTTAACACTGTCAACACCTTTAATACTGTCAACACTGTTGTGTTTCAAAGGTACATCAGGCTGTTACTTGATAAATGCTAATAAATAAAACCCTTTTTTATGGGTAAATAAAAATGGACTTTAGGCAAGTAAAAAAAAATATTAATGTTAAACCCTGAATGTATACTGTGTGTTGACAGGAAGTCCAAGCAAAACGTCTCACAGCTCCAATGAGAGTCTCAGCATCTCCTCGAGATTTCTCTCCCAGAATTCTGCTGCAAGGTAGAAATTCACTTCCTGGTTCCTCAACATGTTTAGTGACCTGATCAGTCTTAAACCATCTGGTTCTGGTTCTTTGTTGTGTTTCTGATAAAAAAAAATCTTGTTTCCTCTGCTTCTTAGTCGGGCTGTGTTTCCTCTCCCATCTCGCACCACCAGCGGAGGAGGTAGTGGAGGTGGAGGAGGAGGAGGAGTGGAGACAAAGGCCCGTCCTCTGGTCTCAGAGGTACGACCTCTGATGGAGGAGAACCAGAACCGTTCCCAGGACAGGAGGGTGACATGGAACCAGGACCAAACATCCTCCCTTCAGGACCAGGTACAGTCCCAGGACAGGAAAGACCAGGACCAAACCCCGTCTTCTCAGATAGGGAACCAGATCCAGCAAGGTACAGATCAGCAGCACAGCCAGGTGGAGGAGGAGGGGGCGGTCCAGCAGACCCACCGGCCCTCACCACTAAAGAAGAAGTTTCAAACCACAGTGGAGTCCAAGAGAAGCCTGGGCCCGACAGCCCGGGCCGCCGCCTCCCATCTGAACTCGTCCTCTGGACTCCGGAAGGCTCAGTCAGTTCAGAGCCTGCTGAGCGACACAGGTGAGACTCTGACGTCACAACACACATGTGACGAGTAAGACCCTGACCCAAACTGGAAGGTTCCTGTAGAACAGTGTTTAGACCTGAATATAACACTGTCTCTTTCTCCCTTCAGGAGACTCCTCTCTTTCCACATCCTGTCCATCAAGAGACGTCCCCTCTCAGCTGCTCCTCCCCCCGCAGCGTCCCACCACCCTCCCCTCCTCACCCAGACGCCCCCCGTCTATAGCCCCTCCCCCTCAGAGACCCAGCCCCGTCGCCTCCCCCAGGTCCCCCCAGCAGGAAACAGTCGCCGCTCCTTCTGCCATCACCACCCCGAGGAAGTCTTCATCCTCCTCCTCTACTCCGGTGGCATCTCGCTCCTACATGAGCCCCACTGCCAGCTCCATGGCCAAGATGTCACGCTCTGTCTCAGTGGGCGACGGCCTCAACATCCCCGAATCCAGCGAGGATCCTGCAGTGACATCATTATCAACTGCAGCGGTAACTTCCTCCTCTCAGGTCAAAGACACTCCACCGCCTCTTGTTGCTGTGGTGCCCTCCATCGCATCTCTGGCCACACACCCCCACGCTGCCGTTGTCCCCGTCGTTGTTGCCTCCTCTTCGTCTCTAGGTAACCATGGTAACCAGGTGGGCCCTGCCCCCCGTGGTCTCCAGGCTCGGGTCCCTGGCAGCAGCAGACCGCTCCCTGACAAGCCCTCCCTCGCCTCCTTGTCTTCCTCATCGCGGCCTCCTCCGGTCTCTGTTTCCCCGCTGACTGCCCCCCGGCAGGAGGAGGAGCCTCACACTGCTGCAGGCAGCAGCGGCAGCTTGGAGCAGAGAGACGACGCAGGTTTGGACTCTCAGCCTCCTCCTCTTCATCCCTTCATGCTGTCACCTCTACATCTGGGCTCAGCGCTCTGGCTGCACCCCTTACCTTCATTTTCCTCTTCACCACTGCACCCCTCCTCCTCCTCCTACTACTCCTCTCTCTCCGTACTGACGGGTGAGGTTTCACTCCTTTTTGTTTAAAGTCATCTGTCACTTCTTCGCTACATTGCACTGGGGTTTTTTTTGTCCTTGTTCTTAACTCCCTCCGTCAGAAACAGTTCTGCTGAAACTGGATTACACAGTGAAGTGTGTGTGTGATTGTATACTTGTACTTGCTACGTAGTGGGGACTGAAGCTTATTTCACCAGAGTGAGGACATTTTTGGAATGTGAGGACATTTTGGTCCTCTCTTCTTCAAAGGCCTGTTTGAGGGTTAAGACTTGGTTTTAAGCTTTGGGTTGAAATAAGGTGAAGGTTAAGGTGAGGTTTCTTTGGGGTTTGGCATTTAGCTTTAATGGTTAAGTTAAGGTAATAGGCTTGAGATTGCAGTATGTTACTAAAGGTCCTCACAAAGATAGAAGCACCTTACACCATACCTTCTCTCTTTCTTTCTGTGTGTGCAGACCAGCCAATCAGTGTGGAGACGTGCAGAGCTCTGACCAATGAGCTGCAGAGCTGCTTCAAGAGAGCCACACACCTGTACAGGAAGGTGAGTGTGTTATTTGACGATGTTTATCAGAGTCAGACATAAATAGAATTATGTACATGTTGAAGTTAAAACTTACCTTAGGGAAGGCCGTTTGTGTCCTGACCCATTAGGTAAAAGAAATCAGGTGTTGTTGCCAGATTGGGAGACTTTTTAGTACCATTCAAGTGAAAAGTTAGACTGTAGGTCAACGCATCAGCTCCTCATGGAGCCGTAGGACAGTGGAGCGCAGGGTTAAGGTTTTGAAGACAGAAGAAGTCTTGGGGGAGCAATGACATCAGCAGTGACATCAGCAGCAGACCAATGTTTTCAGACAACTTCTCAGTCTGACACTCACCTGTCTTTCTCTCCTCCAGGTGAGCGGCTCCTCCCACAATGACTCCACACCTGACCAACATCAGATGGCTGTCGTCCTATCAGAAGCCTTCCAGGCCATGAGGGCGGAGCTCGACTCTCTGCCACTCGGCGCCCCGAGCATGCTGGGAGTGGAGGGGGGGTTGGGAGGAGTGGGGGAAGTGAAGACGGCGGCTCTGCTGGAAGAGTATTCTCTGCTGCTGCTGCAGGCCGTTCACAGGAGGATTAACAACACTACAGACTGAACACTACTCCTCTTCATCACCTCTTTCTTATCTCTTCTTACCTTCGTCCTTTTCGCTTCAGCTCTTCCTCGCCTTATTTCTTTTTATCTACTCTGTCTCTGGTCTACCTCCTCTTCCTCCTTTCACTCCTTGGTCTTCACTTCCTTCTTTTTACTTTTCCTCATCTATTCAATCTTCCAGCTTTGCTCTTCATCTTTTTCCTCTCAGTCGTTCTTGTCCTTTTCATCCACAACCATCTTCTTCTAGTTTTCCTCCTCATACTCTTCTTCATCCTCCCTCCCCGCTTTCTTGTCTTCCTCCTCTTCTGTCTGGTCCTGTTTCCAAATCCTCCATCTTCTTGTCCGTCTTTTTTTCTCCTTATCTTTTTCCCCCTCATCTCTTTTACTTAACTACTTTGCCTCCTTGCTTTCCCCTCCTCTTCCTCTTCCTCCTCCTCATCTTCACAGATGAAGGATCTGAAGCCATTCTGATTTCGTCTGGACTTTTATTCCCTTTTTACTGTTATGCAAGAATCTCTCCGGTCTTAAGGAACGACACGTTTTTTAGAAACTGAAGTTTTTATCAACTTGTTTTTTAAAAGACATTTTTCCTTTTTCATTCCCGTCGTTTGTTTGGAGGGAATCTGAACGACTCGTTTGGATCAATGATTATTGATTAGTGTTGTAGAGACATTGATGTTAGACTGTAGAGACTTTTTAAAGGAGCAAACAGCAATATGAGACGTTTTGTCACACTGTTTGATTTGAACAAACTTTAATGTTCTTCTGTTTGATGTAAATGTCATTTCCTGAGTTCACTTGAATCCAAAACAGACTTCCTGTTTGAAACGTCACAGCTAGTTCAAGTGAGATTTTTAGTTTGTATTTATTCTCTTGATGTTACAGTTTGACTGTCAGACTACTGAACACTGACTCTTTATCCTTCACCAGACTTCACAAACTGAGCGCCATGTTTTTCAAAGTTATTTTTAACTGTAACAGGAGGATGTACATTTTTATAATTGTTATTAAAACAAACACTTTTAGGGATCTTTGGGTTTAAATTAGGGGTCAAATTGTTTCTAACAGTTTGTTGTAATGGCGACTTTCTCACTAACCAACAGGTCAAAGTTCAGTTTGAAATGTTTTCATGTTTTTTGTCAAAATCTAATAAAAGTTTGGGACTTATTTTCAGTTTTGTTTTATTAAGGTAAAGAATATTTATTAGCTTAATAAGTGTAAACATTATTTTACTGTGACATCGTCAGTCCATCCTGGTTCTAACAAGAGGAAGTCTCTCACCCTACCAAAACAAAAGTCCAGTCTCTAGTTTCCAGCCTGATACCTTAAAGGATAGTTTGCTGAGAGGACGTCTCCTCGTACCCTGATCCTGGGTCTGTCCTGTCAGAGGGGGAACAGCAGGAAGCCCGAGAACACGCTGAAGTTTCGGGAGTCGTCATAGAGCCGGTAGCTGGCCGGAAGACTGAGGCGGACCTTGTCACCCTGCTCCAGCTGCAGAGCCACACCGTTGGACGTAGAGGCATAGCCGCCGTGGTCGTTCAGGTCCAGGTTGAAGAGGATTGGCTGGTTGTTCCTGTACAGGTAGACTCCCATGTAACCCTTCAGGTAATCTGCAGCCGTGAAGCTGAAGAAGTAAAGTCCTCTGACAGGAGCTATGAACACGCCTGACAGACACAGATCAGGGTGATGTGAACCCACATACATATTTATTATGTTAATACAGAACACGAAGAATTCTCCACCAAAATTCATCATGTCATTATACACACTAACTGCTGCTGCGTTTGAGGGCATCAGAGAATCAATAACTAAAAAACCTTGAGTTAATAATGCTTAATTTGTTTATCAGAAAAACAGGAGGATAGTTTTATTCATTATCATTTTTAACTTTAAACATGACAGTAAACCATGAGCGTTGTGTCAGGATCGTAGTTTACCTGCAGTCTGGTTGTAGGCACGGCCGATGTTGGTGATGGTTTTGGAGAAGATAAGAGTCCTCTCCTCATTGAACGGTCCGACTGATCCTGAATCAGTAAGACCAGCTGAGAACGCCACCTTCAGGTCATCTGCAAGAAAAAAGTTTCACTTCAAAGTTTTAATGTAATAAAAACACTTCATAATGAAAGTTACAGTTATAATAATCTTTTTTTATATATTAAGAGTCAAATATTTTACATCCTAAAGGAATTTTAAATATTTAACATTAACATTTTTCTCTCATTTTCTGTTAATAATTAAAAATTTCACAGAATGTTATGATTTTCTTCACTTTAATGCGCTAAATTAATCTATTAATTACCGGGGGCTATTAAAATGAAGATATTTGGGAACAAAAAATGATTCAGTGACATAATAATTTAGAAGCTTCAACAATTTGGTCACTCTAAATTTCTTTCATTTCATCATTATGATTCATCCACCTGCCATACATGCATATAATGAATGTACTGCTTGTTTTAGTAATTTATGTTGGTCATTTTCCAACTTAAACCAAATATAAACAAGAAAAAATAGAAATAGTAATAACAGTGATAAAAATAATAACAATAGTGAATCATTAATTTCTGAAGCAGCAACAAACCAAAGCAAGTTAATCTGACCGTAAAGGTGTAGGCCAAAGCCTCAGCTCATTGCACCCACCCTTTTTACATTAAGAGTTTTGTACTGTTCTCTTTAGATTTATTTATTTATTTAAAATGAAAGGAACAAGCAAAACACAATATATTCTATATATCCTAATGCAAGGGTAGGCAACCTGATGTTCTGGAGTTGCATGCAGCTCTTTAGCCCTTCTCCTGTGGCTCTATGTGGCTTTGATTAAAAATTATATGTAAATGAATAAGAACTATTTTTAACATTTTAATTTTCATTTATCATTGTAATAGACCAAAGGGAAACATTTTCCAGTTGTAAAAATGTGTAGCCTATACACTCAATAAAAAAATATTTTTAACATTTCTTTAACTTAATTGTGCATCATACAGCAACATCCTGGAGCTTTTTCCTAAATTTTGGTGAACAATAGCAGGGCTAGTTTTGAGTTTACCTAGCTAGGCTGGGAATTGATTACAAATCCAAAAAAGAAGAAGTCTCAGATGAAGAATTGGATAGTGCTTGGACAGATTTGTTTGCTTTCATAGACAACACTGCAACGCTTGAGTACCAAATAATCATAAGTGGCCCACTGGAGAGTAACAACTTTGTGGTAAAACATAAAAATGAACGCTGATTTAGAACTATTCGTAATGATGATAGGCTTTTTTTTTTTTTTTTTTTTTTTAAATTAGTCCAAAATGGCTCTTTTGATATTAAAGGTTGCTGACCCCTCTCCTAAAGTCACAAACAAATATTCATATACACACACAGCTGTTAACCATTTTGTATTTGTGAATCATCTTATTTCTATTAATTTTTTAAAAATCTATCTATATTTTTTCTATTTTCTGAAATGCATCATGCTCAAACTGTTTCATAGTTTCACTCTTCATTTTTAATTTCTCTAAACTTACTGTTATATACTTTTATTACTTTAATTATTCTGGTTAAAACAAATACATGATTATTTCTTTAGTTGAAAAAAAAAAAAAAATCTGAGTCCAAACCTGAGTCTGTGTTTTTGAGTTGCTGCAGACGATCCGCAGTTTCATTAATTCTGAAGCTCAAAACTAAAAATCAGAAAACAAAGTGAAGACAAAAACTTTTTAAAACTTACAAGAAAAATGCAGCTAGAGTCCTGAGTGTTACCTGTGCTTTCTGTCTTCAGATCTTCCAGCTGTTTCTCACTGACACTCAGTCTGACCTCCAACTCTAAAGAGGAAAGTTCAGGGTTCATGGTTTAATTAATCAATAGTAAATAATAAAAGTAACATTGAACAGTTAATGATGTTACCTGCACTGTGATTCTCCAGTTGTTCCAGCTGTGTCTCAGTGGATCTCAGTCTGACCTCCAGAGCTGATCAACAGTCAGATTTTATTTACTTAAATATTAACAGATTTAAAATCGCCAGTTAAGTCCAGATCAAAAACATACATATTAATAAAAGTATTAATAGTGATATAACTGTACCTGTACTGTTGTTGTGACTGTCTGTCAGTCTGGACTCCATCAAGGAAATTTGGACAGAGTGAACTGAAAACACGAACAAAAGTTCTCTATGAAAATGTTACAGTAATATTATGCACTTTAATTAGTTTAATAAAGTAATTACTATTGTAAAACTCAATCATGATGGTTCACTACTTTAGTCAAAGGTTCAGCAGATTTTGTGAAGTACACTCATGTTCTTGGGTTCAACAAGAACCATCAGGATTCACTCATGTTTATAAAGGAGTTCCTCAGGGAACAATCAGAGATCCTCCACAGTTTCAGTCTGAAGATTCTCTACATGTTTTTTCTCTGAGCTAAGAACTTTGACTCTGCTTCAGACTCTATCACATTATGACAATTTCATGGTTGCTTATTTCTCCATATATAATTCCATTTTAACTCTTATTGTTACCTGTGTTTTCTGTCTTCAGATCCTCCAGCTGTTTCTCACTGACACTCAGTCTGACCTCCAACTCTAAAGAGAAAACAGTTCAGGGTTCATGGTTTAATTAATTAATAATTTAAAGTAATATTGAAGAGTTGATGGTGTTACCTGCACTGTGACTCTTCAGTTGTTCCAGCCATGTCTCAGTGGATCTCAGTCTGACATCCAGAGCTGATCAACAATCAGGTTTTATTCATTTATATATTAAGTCTGTATTTAAACTCCCCAGTAAAGTCCAGACCAAAAACATACATATTAATAAAAGTGTAATATAAATATAACTCTACCTGTAGTGTTGTTGTGACTGTCTGTCAGTCTGGACTCCATCAAGGAAAGTTGAACAGACTGAACTGAAAACATAAAATCAGCACAAACAAAAGTTCTCTATGGAACTGTAACAATAATATTAAGCATTGTAATTAGTTTGATAATGTAATTAAAATTGTAAAACTCAATAATGGTGGATCATTTCTCAGGTCAAAGGCTCAGCAGGTTCTGTGACCAATGTTGGATCCTCCACAGTTACAGTCTGAGGATGCTCGATATATTTTTCCTCTGAGCTAAAAATTTTGACTCTGTTCTTGACTCTTTATCACATTATAATAATTTCATGGTTAGAGTGTTACCTGTGTTTTCTGTCTTCAGATCTTCCAGCTGTTTCTCACTGACACTTAGTCTGACCTCCAACTCTACAGAGGAAACAGTAAATATCTTAATCATTAATGACTAATTTAACACTTGTGTTAATTAAATAATAAAGTAAGTATTACTGTACCTGTAGTGTTGTTGTGGCTGTCTGTCATTCTGGACTCCATCGAGGAAAGTTGAACGGACTGAACTGAAAACATAAATAAATCAGACACTAACAGCTTATTGGGTTCTTAACTTTTAACGTTCATGTTTACTAAGTTTAGTTTGATCACTGAATTAAACACAAAGTAGGTGTTACACAGAAAGTATTTACTAAATATTTACAGCCACTAACTGCAGGTATATTGTGTGGCTAACTGACAAAGCTAACATTAGCATGCTAACATCTGAGCTAATATCTTAGATTAAAAAGGTAATAGGCCTATGGTTCTTTATCAGACTGCTTGTAAATACATTTAGAAACAAATAATATACTTGAAATTACAAAAAAGTGCTAATAACATCAATTTCATTCGTTAGCTTGGCATAGCCCGATATTTCTCACTCATTCTAATCTGTATGAAAATAATGAACTCTAAAACACATTTCAAACTAGAATTACAGATAATCTTAATCCCACCAACATGAAGAATTTCTGTTTGTTAAAATGTGGAACACCTGATAATAAATGATGAAAGTAAATCACCTGAACTTTCAGTCTGTAACTTAATCATCAGGCGGTCAGCATCACTCAGTTGTCTCTCTAGATCTGAAAACAAGAAAACAAACCAAAGTAATATTTAGCTGTTTGGTGTTAAACAGTTAAAATGTTGAAGTTGGGTTGCTCTTCTGTTTATGAATCTTCACCTTTAGTTTGAGTTCTCAAAGTTGATAGATCAAAGCTGTGAGCTGAAACAAATTTATATAACAGATTATAATATAACAAGCAAACATCTCATCAATAATAATTACATTTTTTATATCTGAGTTCTATATTCTTATGTATAAATAAACTCTACTTTATTCAATGTGTTTTTGATAATGTGTTCACAGATAATATAAATTTATACATAGTAATAAGTAATAAATTCAGACCTGTAACGTTACTCTGCAGCTCGTGGATCAAATCGTCTCTGACTCTCAGTTTGATCTGTATATCTGCAGGATGAACAGAGGAAATACAGTTTCTCTTTAAATATGACTAAACAACTGACCGATCATAAAATTAAATACTGATTGTTTTGTTAATCAATGACTTGTTTTAGATTAAAGTTTCTAAAAATAAAAAATGGCTGTCATAATTAATATTAGCAGCTATTTTACAGAAATTCCTAAAAAAAAATAGACAAATTATCTATATAATGATAACAATAATAATAATGTAAAATGCTGGTAATTTTTTCTTACCTTCGATTTGTCTCTTCAGCTGGTTTTCAGTGGCATTCAGTCTGAACTGCAGCGCTGACACACAGTCACATGAACAAAATGTCAGTACCTATTCAACATCCGATTTAACCTGTTTGTCAGATCATGGACTCACCTGAGTCGAGGTTCTCAGCAGCTTCCAGTCTGGAGTTGATTTGTGTCAGCAGAGCTGCAGAAAGGAAACACTTCAGTAACAGGTTCGCAGTCATGTGACTATGCAGTTGACCTCTGACCTCAGTCCTGATCACTGGTCCTCGGAACATCTTTGATGAACAGGTTCAACCACACATTCGTCCCCTCACTCCAGATACGAATAATGTTATTACTAAGAATGTACATTTCATTTTTGACATTTAAAAAAAAAAAGGAATATTTCAGACTTATCAGAAATATTGAAATATTGAAATTTGTGTTATGTGGATATACAGATATTTGAACAGATATTTTCTGTCCTGGTGACAATTTACAACAGCTTCTGCAGGTGGTCACATCAGAATTGAATAAATTAAAGATGTGGTTTGACTCAAACAAATCATCATTAAATCTGAGCAAAGCCAAACTAATGCTGTTTATAAACTGAAAAATAAATACTCAAGTATTTATTAAGACAGACGATGTTATTATTGCAGGAGTATACGAAAACAAATTTCTTGGTGTGATTAAAGACCACAGAATCTGGCTGAAACCACATAGCATATGTAAGAACAAGGCTGTCAAGGAGTGTTACAGTTTTGGGCAAAGCCAGACACATATTGGACTACAAAGCATTATATACTCTGTACTGTTCTCTGATATTGCCAAATTTAAATTATTGTGTTGAGGTTTGAGGAAACAACTACAAAACCACCCTACAGCCATTATCCATACTGCAAAAGAGCCATACGAATTTTACACAATGTTAGATATCGGGAACACACTAATTACCTGTTTTTTTACAACTTAAAAAGTAGTTAAATTTGAAACAACGTTGTTTTTGCACCACTCTGAAAAGGATGTGTAGTATATCAGTTTGTAGGGTGATTTTGTGGAATGCACAGGTTGAAGAAATCAAACAAAGTAAAGATATCAGAGAGTTTAAAAACAGGTACAAAGACAGTGTCTTCACAAGGTACAGAAATGAGTAGAGGGAAGTTAAAGCACACTCAGGGTGCGACTGTAGTCAGTATTCCCAATACTGATTTTCAGATTTCTTTTTATACACCGGGTAATGTTGGTTATCAAGTGTAAAGATGTGTAGTGGTGTAAACGTGTGGTTGATTCATGGTGAGGAGCGTGTGTTTATGTAATAGTTTATAGTTTGGGATAATGGGTGGGGCTAGACAAGCAAGTTGCTTCTTCCTACTCCTTTTCAGACATGAACCGTAATTTACGTTTCTCTTTGTAAGTCTGTTCATGATTTATTGTTTGTCTCTGTTTTGTAGAACTTTTCTTCTACAATATATATATATATATATATATATTTTTTTTTTTAATGTTCGAAATAAATAAATCAAAATCAAATCAATTTACATTTTGATTTGGAGAGTTTGTTACACTTCTGTTAAAGATCCATATTAGTTGTTTTTAAAAAGAAATCGCTGCTATAATTAGGTACAGTAACCAGCTGTCAAGAGGAAACTTTCACCTGCCTAAATTATGAACTTTACATTTAAAAGAAAAACATATAATAATAAAGTAAAGGTAAAGGTAAAGTTCCACTGATTGTCACACACCTGAGTGTGTGAAATTTGTTCTCCGCATTTGACCCATCCCCTGAGGGAGCGGTGAGCAGCAGCAGTGCCGCACTCGGGAATCATGTGGTGATCTAACCCCCCAATTCCAACCCCTGATGCTGAGTGCCAAGCAGGGAGGCAATGGGTCCCATTTTTATAGTCTTTGGTATGACCCGGCCGGGGATCGAACCCACGACCTCCCAGTCTCAGGGCGGACACTCTACCACTAGGCCACTGAGCTGGAAACAGCATACAAAAAATAATTGAATATAACTGTAAAACAATCATATATTAATAACACTATTGCTTTAAAGTCCCACTGGCATGCCCTGGAAACTGCAGTGTTCATTACAGCTACTTTATCAGTCAGCTGATCAATTAATCAATAAGTCTCTACATTAGAGTTTACCTTTGTTCTCATGTGTTTCATA